TGGAGCTATTAAACACATCTTATGTAATGTTTTTCTCAATTAGATCATTATCAAGGAGTTAGTTTTTGAGGTTTCCTAATATAACTTTAAAGTCCCTTTTTGCGTTTTAGTATCAACTTAATCATGTGTCATCATCACAATTTTTGGCGACAAATAAAAATTTAGTCATGAATATTTTTAAAATATGAATGATTAACTCCATAATAAGCTCATTTGATTTGGTATGTCTATCTAACTTATGTTTGTATAGTAACTATATAACTCCATAGTAAACAAATTAACTCCAAATTTTACTCATGAATACTTTCATGAGATTTATTGAATTCTAATCTGGACTTCTAAATTTTAGGAAGGATTTCATCAAAAAGTTTTTAATTGGACTGATTTTATTGTCCGATTTCTTTGTTCTAATCGAATAAGGTCTAAGCTAGTCAGGTCATATTATCCGAGCATTTTTAACTTTTTTTGTCAAACAGATTAACCTCATCCAATTAACAGTTTAAATGTAGCATTTCAGACAATAGTTCTTAATTCAGACATTAGTCTTCACCTACATTTCAAGATGTCAAACATAACCCTAATCTATGAGCATGGTTGGATATTGAGAACATTTCACATAAATAATGTATAGAACTTTGTTGAATTTTAATTGAACACAACAAAACTTCCATAATTCTTAATTGTATTTTTAAAATTTTTAGAAAATAAGATTTTAAAAATTGCTATACTTGTTTTACATTTGGAATACATGTACCTAAAGTTAATTTATAATAGCTTTTTATTATTCATAATATATCACACCGTAATGTTACAAAAAAATATCAAAAATCCTGACTTTTTATTATTTTGCATATGACACCAATGTTGCATATATAAAACAAACATATCAATTTGTGCAGTTTATGATCGTTTTTTACCATGCACGCTATTAATCAAAGTGATAGCTTAGAATAAAAATCCACAAATTTTAGTGCAAAGAAAAAACAATAAATAAAAGTGATGGGGTTTGTGCACTTTTATTCTAAATTATCACTCATGATTAATTGTGTGAACTCTAAAAAATGATCCTAAATTGAAGGAATTAATAATTTTTTTATATATGTGACATTGGTCTCATATGAAAAATTATAAAAAGTTATGAAATTTTATACTCCGTATATTTTTTGTTACAATATGAGTATTAATAAAAAAGATACAACTTTAAAAAGAGATATTTTTTTAAAGTGTTATATCTTTTTTATTTTATATATTCAATATTGGTGTCATATGAAAGATAATTAAAAGTTATGAATTTTAATATATTTTTTGTAATAATTATAGTATAAATAATATATTTTATAATACTTTAAAAAAACATATGCGATTTTATTTGTTGATTGTGTAGCTTTAGGATGTTTCTAACTTAGCCTTGTCCTAAATTTAACGTAAGTTTCAGTTCTAACTTCTAATTTAACTTAATTACTAATGTATCGAAAGTATAATTATTATTATAAATAATATACTAAACTGGAGAGGAAACCTAGAATATTATAATTAATGTTTGCTTAGAAGATGACACATGGCAAAACTTTTCATAATTGTATCTTTGAAATATATTACTTACAGATAAGAAAATCGGAAAATTCTTGAAATATGATTTAAACGGTCAACTTCCTTAAATATGACCGTTTGTTTTTAGTCATTCGTATCACTGAAAATAAAAAATTAAGAACCTATTCATGTTAAAGAGTATTGAAGGACAAAAATAACCTTATAAATAAAATGTGCATTTTACTTTGATTTCGTCCCATTTAATATACATTATATTTCTCGGCACCATTGTATTTTATGCCTGCGCTAGTGCACTTTTTCTCGGAAACGTTTCTCTTCTCGTCCATGTTATTTTCCTTTGTCGTCATTACTACCCTTCATGCCAACATTACTACTCAATATTATTAACCAATATAAAAAAGCTGAATTAAAGAAGGATATTGTGACCACTAATCAGTGGTATAGGCACACACCAAAACTGGGTCACGTCGGTACAAAGATTTTGTCAGAAATCGCGTTGAATAGTGTATAAATATTAACCCCAAAGATCCAATGCAGTGAATTGATTAGTGCTTTTCGTATGCATGAATGATATGGAAGAGTCCTTCTCGTTGTACCCACTTTTGTACACACATTTGTACCCACCCTTTATTTTGTCTGTGTACATAGATAAACACAGACAAAATGTTGCCTTCTTCTTAACGAATTGCCTGTGTACACAGACAAAATAGGGGGTGGGTACAAAAGTGGATACAAAAGTGGGTACAAACAGATTTTTTGGATATGGAATTGGAGGGCGAGTAGACCCAAAAATGGATTTTCCTCTCGTTCCCAAAAGCGGTGCAAATATAATCGATAAAAAATGAATGATATGGAAGGACACATAACTATGTTTAGTAGCCTCATTGTTAGAGTTTTATGCTCTTTTGTTGAGTTGAATGACTCTTCGTGCTTATCGAACACTAGACAGTGCCCGATTTTGAGTTTGAACGTCCCATAAAACTTGATCAAACTTTCTATTTTGGCCATTCCAAAAAAAATTTGTCATTTCCATTTAAAGTAAATAATATGTGGCTAAATTTATTTCTCCCTCATCTGCACAAATTTGAACCACATAGTTTATTAATCTACACGAAAGTCAACTTTGGCCAAGTTTTGTGGGACGAGAGAGTATGTTATTATATTCAAATTATTAATTATGTTTAAATTAGTTATTATGATATTAATTATTAAGTCTATAGCTATTTAAATACTTCACGAACATTTATGGTAGTGCAAGAGAGTTTAGAGTTCAGAAGAAGATGAGTGAACTCTGTTTTAATTCCGTTTTTTGTGTTTTTCCTTCGAACTACATGTTGTTTTGGGTGTGTTCTTATTTCCTAGCAGTAAGAGTCTAAAATTCAAGTCAGGTGATGAGAAGTCTGGTTTGCCCATTACAAGATTAGTGACTCTTATTGCTTCTATGGAGGTGATTGATTCTAAGTCTAGTTCAAAGACGGATGACAGACAAAATACTTTTTGTCATTTTGTTTTTTGCTTTATATCTGATTGTATTGTCAGCCACATGACAAATGATTTGTTGATTTAATATAAATGTTTAGTTTTACGATCAAAATACCATTTCTAGTAGTGAAAACGAAATATTGAAATGTAATGCAACAAATTTGGATGGATAAAGACTGTTGATGGAGTATATAACACAGGACCCCCCGGCCCACATACTTCCACTACTACAGTCAGGTCCAACAAGCACAAGTGGTCCAAACAAAGCAAACAAGGCTCCAGACAGCCCATGCTACAACAAGGTGTTGCCCAAGGTTCAGGGGACGTACGTCCTTCGTCACATGAATGTCCTAGGGGACGTACGTCCATCAGCACCTTAGGGTCCAGGAAACGTACGTCCTTCGTCACATGAATGCTCTAGGGGACGTATGTCCATCAGCACCTGAAGGCCCATGAAACGTACGTCCTTCGTCACATGAATGCTCTAGGGGACGTACGTCCATCAACACCTGAAGGCCCATGAAATGTACGTCCTTCGTCACATGAATGCCCTAGGGGACGTACATCCATCAGCACCTTAAGGCCCAGGAAACATATGTCCTTCGTCACATGAATGCCCTAGGGGACGTACGTCCATCAGCACCTAAAGGCCCAGGGAAGTTACGTCCTTCGACACATGAAGGCCCCAGGGGACGTACGTCCTCCAGCACATGAAGGCCCCAGGGGACGTACGTCCTTCAACACATGAAGTCCTCCCGGCTACGCACGTCCTCCGGCACATGAAGGTTCCCAGGGTACGTACGACCTTCAGCACATGACGGTCCCCCGGCTACGTACGTCCTCCGGTACGTGAAGGCTCCCAGGGTACGTACGGCCTCCGACACTGCCCTCGACAGGATCTCCTCTCCACTTGCTCTAAATTACCGCATTAAATGCGGTGTCACGTCCAACCACCACATTAAATACGGTGCCACATGTTGTGCCTAGCCGAGTTGACTCTCCACCGCTGGTTACTTGCCACGTGTACCCACATTTATTGCAGCTAACTTTTATGGCTGCTATAAATAGCAAGCCAATTCTTCATTGTAAAAGATGTGATCCCGGATCCAAAATCAAACACTTGGGAAATTCATTAATACATATCACTTTTCTCTCTAGCTCTCCCTTCTCTCTAGGAGTTAATACTTCATCAACTATTAATTTAAATGTGAACTCATTTGGTAACAATGAAATTGATTGAATTAGATGATTTTGCTGAAATTCGTGAAGTTTCGGCTAGAGTAGTTGAATTGACCGATCCTATGAATTATGAAAAAAATAAAAATATATTTTACTAATAAAATTAAAAAAATTATTTGAAAAATAGCTAAAATGATCTTATACGATAATTTCCACCAATTTAGCTAGTAATAATTTCAACCTTACTTATTTTAATTTTTAATTATTACATAACGTCAACACGCGTAATAAAAAAATCATATATTTAGTGAAAAAGTTAAATTATAAGACTAGTCATTCAAAAAATAAAATGAGTGAAGTCTATGTAAATATTACTATCTCCGTCCCATAAAACTTGACCAACTTTCCCTTTTTATAAGTTTTCAAAAGATTTTGTTATTTTCATTTAAACTAACAAATATGTGCCTAAAGTTATTTATTTCTCCTCTACTTAAATATCAAACACACAATTTTTATGGGATGGGGGAGTAAAATGCAATCCTTTGGTAGTTGTAGCTTCTAAGAATTTGGGTCTCACAAGTTGCAACTGTCAAGGCATGAGGGCAATATTTTTGTGATGTGAAAAATCTCAGCGTTGAACTTGGGTGATATTAGCGGTTGAATTGGGCCCACCAATAATGCAAGGGTATTTCGGTCATTATACAAGGCTATCCGTTAGTACCGTTACTGACGCTTGTGAGTTGTGATAAGTGCCGGGCCGCCCGATGGCTGGAGCGTTTTACATCTTAATTAATTAACACAACCAATCAAATACGGAGTATCTCATTTAACTTTTGACTTATCGCCGGCCGGGAATGGAATTTCCCAGCGAGAACTCCGAACACGAATCTACTCCAAAGCTATCGCTAACCAAACTCCCCACCAAACACAGATCACCACTAACAGCCCTAACCCCTCCACTCCACGCGCCGGTATCTGTACCGTTTCAATGGGAGGAAGCGCCGGGAAAGCCGATAAGCTCCGCCACCTGCGAAAACTCACCACTGCCGCCGGCGAAATCAAATTCTGTCTGCCGGAGCCTTGACTTGCCTCCGAGGTTACACTCGACGACGGCGAACGCCGGTTTTGACTTGTCGGATGAAATTAGCCGGTCGACTCTGTCTTCGTTCTCGTCGTTCCGGAGCCTCGATGAAGGACTTATTGTTAGGATTTTGAAGAGAGAGAGCAAGGAGGTGGGAGCTTTCTCATTCTCGCCGCCATTAACGCCGGGTGGAGGAGATCGGAAAACGAGCAGGATTACGAGCAAGGGCAATTTGGACCTTTCGTTCTCGTTTTCAGTGAGAGACGCTGGTTATGAAGGTAGCTCGAAGAAGGTGGCGCGTGTTGGGAGAAGAAGCAACAGCCTGTTGAAAGTTTCCCGTACCACATCTACTCGTCTCCTGGTAAGTAAGATGTAAGACCTACTGCGTTTAGCCATTTAAAGAGTGTTTCTATGAGAGAAAAAAAGTGATTAGCTTTTAGCTTTAAAAAAGGGAAATTTGTTAGGGTATGACTAAAACTTAATGAGTTTCTCATTATGATCTAACTAGTTTTTGAACTTTTGTATGGTCAAAAATCCAAGAAAAAAATATATCTCGTTTATAATTAAATATCGAATGTCGAAAAAATCCTTATTTAAAATATGTGGATTTTGCACTAATTTTGTCTAATTAAAATTACTGTACTTTATAGTGTCGTTACTGCACGACGTTACTGCACGACATTATTGCACAACATTATTGCACGACATTATTGCACGACATTACTGCACATCCGATAATAATCACTGCACTTCCTCCAAAATTACTTCTCTTCTCATTCACTTTACAAATTTATTTATAATTTTTATTTTTCAGATTTAATAATTTTATTATTTTACGTCTAATTAAGTATATTGTGTTTCACGACGGCATTACCGTTCTGTGTTACTGCCTTACTGGTCATAAGCACTGCACAACAAACTTTCTCATCGCATTCATTAAATGCCATGTATAATATTATTTATCGTCATATACACCGATCATACTCAATACTTATTGTCATGTTCACCCCAATGTACAATGCCCATGTTGAATGCCCACAAACCCTAAATTCAATAAACCCTAATCTCAAAAAATAAAAAACTTATGAAGAATGAAAATGGAAGCCTGCACTTAATCAAGATTGTTCTCCAAAGGGCGTATCACAAATTCGCAAACACACACTTCCAAAGAAAACACCTACAATCACAACATATTTGTAAGTGACAACAAATCTAACACATTTAAAAAAAAATCAGGGTCGGTTAAAGCCTACATGGCCCAAAATGAGCTCTACCACTCTACCAAAAGAATCCACTCGCCGTACAGAATCCAGAGTGGCCTCCGCTGCAGGTTAAAAGAATGCCACCGTCGCCGCCATTTAGTCTATCTGAGCATGGAAGTTAATGAGCGGAAAACAACATCTTCACATGGTATAATGATGCCCATGTCGTGGTCGAACTCGAACTCCTCATCGTCGCATCAGAGGAGACACTAGAACTCCGGGTGGCTCAGAAACGAGATTGGCAGCGACATGACTGTACGGCGTATGGCGGCAGCGTGGCTGTACAAGTGTACAACGAGCGACGGCAGTGGTGTTGCTGTACACCGGGTGGCGGTTTGGGTGGGCATCTGTACGCAGGGGACATTCCTCCAAGGTTTAGGTTAAAAGAAATAGGATATTAGGCTTTTATAATAATAGACGAAGGACACATTAGTCATAAAAAATAATTTATTTAATTATTTATTAATATATTAATTAATTATAACGAATTTTAAATATATTTTGAGAAAAAAACCCATTAGGTCATAGATGTGGAAAGTGGTGGAGTTTTAGTAATATGTAGGGTAATTATCTCTTAAAAATTTGAAATGGCTCTATTAATGTGGGGATGGTTTAACTTAGTTTTCATTTTTTTATTATTACACAAAAATATTTTTTATCTGATATTATCAATTTTCATTTTTTTAATAACCTTTTTTTTCAAATGCAATAAACTCTTACTATTAAATATTGTCTCTCAAATCTTTTAATAAATCATTATTTAAGCAATAGCAATTGCAAACAATGTTTTTTTGTGTCGTCACTTTTGCAAAAATTACCCTCTTTATAATTTCTACGTAGTATATAATAATCATGTTAATTTCATACAAGGGAAAATACTTAGCCAAATCTTAAAAATTGAACCATGATTTTGATTAGTATAATATTATTCAAATTGTAAATTTATACTTTTATGAAAATACTTTTAACACAGAACATTTCACATCATTTTTATATTATAAATAATTTCCAATACCTAAGTAAATATGGGGAAAAACTAATTTTTTTGGTAAAATCATAGGAGCAATACCTCATACCCTTCACGACTTCATTAATGATCAAGCGAGTCTAGGAAAGCCCATGTAAGTCATACAAAATGTATAACGATATTCTAGGATCAATATTAGAAATAGAATGAACATCTATGGCTTAGGCCAACTAAAAAGTTTGCGTCCTGATTGCCCTCCCGATAAATATGCTCAATTTTGACCGTCCAATTTTGATCTAAAAGAAATACGGAGTATAACAATTTAAGGGAGGTGTGAACAATCATGAATCATCCTCTTGGATGACTGAATAAAACTATTGAGGAAACACTGGACTCCAACTTTAATAGGATCACGAGCTCATATAACTCGAAGAAGGGTGCCCAACAACTCTTCTTGAGTTTTAGTGACTCTCCAAACCCAATCGAGTAAAAACAAACTCAAAGAGGATAAAATCCAACTAACATTCATAGTGCAGAAAATATGACATAAGTAATACAGGACAAACTTTCGAATATGAAATAGGGTGGGCACGTATGTCGTTTCCGAATGGGATTCTCTATTTTTCCATCCAAAATTAAATCGAACATGCATTTCAAATTGGAACTAGAAATAGATGTAGGATCGAGTGCACTATTCTTGTGAAAGTGTGAAATATAGGAAAGAACTATTCTAGTCTCTATCTATCCTGATGTGTTTGACTTTTAATTGTAGATCTACCCATAGGCCATAGGGCCAAATGAACCAAAAATACTCAAGTGAATGAGACAAAAAACTTGAACAAGTTTATCAAGTTGCCGTGTGGTCCTTCTAACTTGGGGTCCTTAATCAAGCAGTTAAAAATCGAAATTTTAGTGAAAAAAGTATTCTAAAATGCTACTCCCTCCGTCCCGTTGGAATGTTCCCGCTTTCCTTTTTTGGATGTCCCGTTGGAAAGTTCCCATTTCCCCAAATGAATGTTATCCTACATCAAAACAGGGTCAAACAGTGCAAAACAGTGCCAAACAGTGTCGAAACAGTGCCAAACAATGTCGAAACAGTGTCAAAACAATAAAATTTACCCTCTGATAAGTTTATTTCCTTAATATGTGTGTAGGTCAAACCGGGAACATTCCAACGGGATGGAGGGAGTACATACCATGTGTGTGAGTAGTTGGAGTTCGGATCCCTAAGTATGAAAAATTAAAACCTTAGTATGAATTAGGATTGAGACTAAAATCGATTCGAGTTGTCGCTATATTCATACCAAATATTAAACCATGGTTCCCGACTTCCCGGATCTCGCAATTATGAATTACGGAGTAGGATCCTCTCCATGGAGTAACGTGTCTTGTAGTGAATGGAGGGTCAGATGGAATGAGAGGCGCCTCGAGAATGATGCAAAAATGGACTTCAAATTGTACGACCGTTAATTTTTGTTAGACGGTTGATTAAAACCGCGTAACTCACATGAAAGAGAGTGTCACAAGAGAGAGGTTTTGTTTTCAAGTCGAAGCAATGACTTAGAAATGAAAATCCACTCTCTTTCCATGAGAGTGTAATCAAAACTCAAGTTACATCCGATAACTGTGTGGTTGGTCCTGAGCTCCTCGGGATGGAGCATCAAAGCAAGACAAAAAATGCGGAACCCACCAATTAAAATCCGTTAAACACGGCAAATTATACCCTACGACCGGCGCACCATGAGAATGTTGTGCCCGGTCCCAAAAGTGAGTAAAATATCCCAACATGACTTTCTTTTTCCCTGCGCGACTCCTCCCCCATATTCCTCTCCCAGATCCGTGACACCACCTTTCCTCACCTCTTGACGACCAACCAGCTTGAAGCCCATCTCCGCAGGTGCCTCCATGCTCCGCACTCTAACCTCACGCAGACATGTGAAGCAGTTTCAGATGACCACTTCCTAATATAATTCACCCATATGTCAAGATAGGACCTTCCTCGCTCCCTATTTACCCCTTGAACGATTGTCAAAGCATCCGACTCCTAGAATAAAATTTAAGTGAAAATGATTAATGTTTAAAAATACTCTCATGAAGTACAAAATTTTCATTCTCACTAGAAATTATATTGCCTAAAAGTAATGTTCCAAATCCAACACATTAGATCAAAAATATCAATTAGGATTATTCTTTGCGAAGAGGATTGAGGGTAGCTCAGTTGGTCCAGTGGTGGGAAAATTGGACCAAGTGACCAAGCTTCGAAACCCGCAGCGGCCGTATGGAGGTTACAGAACCTGAAATAAGGCTGGACCTCTGGTGCGCACGTGTATAAGGCCTATCGCCGCTTTGCTGACTGAGTCACCGTGATTAATCTCCCACCATCATGTCGGGTCGGGGTGGAGGTCGGGGTGGAGGTCGGGGTGGAGGCTCCTGGGGTGGGAGATTCCACCTTTTGGACCGAGGGGAGAAGTGGACATAAAGTATTAGACAATCCATACCAACGGAACATTAGTTGCATCCAAATCTACCAATACTTAAATTTAAAACCTTTTAATTTGCCCATAAAAAATTAACATTAATTATGTCACAATAAGGTTTTAAGAACCTTTAACAAGATGTTTTAGTGCATAAAGCTGATATATGGGAGACTGTAAGCCGGTACCAGTAACGGGAGGAAGTTACCTCTAAATAATTCTCTAATGCAAGGAAATGTACATTCATAAAGGGAAAATGTTCTTCCATAGCTCTCATACTCGTAAGAATGTAAGATTAGGCGATCTTGCGAGTTGGCGTGTGATCATAACAACCTTGATCCAAACATTTGTTTGTTTGTGTATACCATATAAAATTAGACCACATCAGACTTAAATAGATCAGATTAGACATCGACTGCTGTAAAATACACATAGAACAAACATCTCTTGAACCAAGTCATATCAATTAAAATCAGACCAAATCAGATTTAAACAGAATAAATCAGAAAAGTATAGTCCAATTAAAAGCATCCTACTACCGTCTTCAATACAAGTTCGCATTCAAGCAATATACATATTTATGTAAAGATAAATTTTTAGTTTGACTTTCCAATCATGCCCTTGAATATTTTATGTCAAATTCAGCAAAAGTTATGGATAATTGCGACATTTGCCTGTTACAAATTTTCTTTTTCTCGAATAGAAACCGAAAAATTCAAATAAGGAAAGTTGAGCGTGTTCGTGGGGTGGGAAATAACATCTACGAGTATTTATGTATTACTCCATACTAGTAGTACTACGTATTATATACCAAGTATATAAGGATGTTTTTACTTCTGTTTTCAGTCCCCGACCAGATCAGACAAGACCTGACTTGGACAGTTATAAAATCCACAAAGATCAGACATTTATCAGACCAAACCAGCTCGGACCAGATCAAACCATACCAGGAAATTATAGTCCAAGTAAAAAAAAATTCCAACTGAATTCAATTAATTAGGTTTTTAATTCCATTAAGTGCATCTGACCTATTTAGAGCCATTATATTTGAAATTTGATGTGTCACATTTATTTATATTTTTCACATCAAAAACACCGGGTAAATTTGGCTAGTGGCGTTCAGCCAAAAATGTCATTCAATTAAAAGGAGCCCTTTATTTGTGCTGACTTGGTACAGTTTAAATTAATTAATGCAGACAAGCATTTGTGAAAGCCTTAAGCATGCGGTTCCCTGGAGGTGGAAAGTAAGATGATGAGTCGCGACTCTAACTAACCATATGAATAATCTTCGTGCCGTGCCGTGCCGTGCCGTTATGTTCTCAACATAATTCGGTTGCCATTATTATTAGTTCATAATAGTATACACTTGATTATGATTCATGAATTCATGATCGAATGTACCTTCATGGCATCATATACCTGTTACTATATTAGCAAAAATGTACTATATGATCGAATATTCGAATGTACTTTCTGAATGAAATGCTTAGCTCCCCAAGCGTTTCAATTCTAGATGTGATGAAATTAGAAATGGGATGGGTTATATGAAAATTTAGTGTATGTTTTTTTTAAATGTTTTTGTATTTACAAGAGGCAAAATAGGGAGTACGTGCTTGGGGAACTTAAAGGAGCGATATCTCAAGTCTCAACTCCACAAAATCAGCTTTTGAGAATTTAAGGAAGACTATGGGGGCGTTTGGATCTAATTCTTAAAACTGCTTCTGCTCCTTCAGGGAGCATAAGCAGAAGTTGAAGTATTTGGATGAAAATGCAGAAGTGATTCTGATGCTCTAATTTACTCCTAGAATCAGTTTTTTTAGAAGCTGGGGGTACCAGACTACCAGCTTGTGAAAATTGATTCTGATTCTGCTTCTGCTTTAAAAAAGAAGCAGAAGCAGAATCAGTTCCAAACACCTCCTATCTTTTCATAAATATTAAATTAAATCCTTAAGTGTAAGTATAGTACCTGTCAAAAAAAATTACTACTATGAGTATGAATATAACTATGAATATGAGGAAGAATGGTTGTGTTTGTTTTCTACCGGGTTGATGTCTACCCGCGGTTTGTAGTTCAAATGAATTAGCTGATTGGGCAAAACGCTCTTTCAAACGGAGTCATTGTACCCTCTCAAATGTTTTTGGGCTAAGAGACATTATCCCATCAAAACCCTCAAATTTATTGAGTTGTGACTTGTGATCGTCATAGATCAGGATACCCTCTTTTTGGGTTGTCCCCAATTTAAAGGAACTTTTCATTTTCAACCACATTAGTCTTATTTATTCAACTCCCTAGCATGATGTTTGTTAATGTGTTACATTTCTTCATCCCGACCCAAACACTCGTTCAGCGCATAGCTCGATCTTGGGCTCAACCAGAGTAGGAGCCCAAATTGTTTTTGAGTTTCCGATTTTTGGTATATGATTTATGTGTACTATCTAGTTTTTTTCCGGTTCTCTGTTTCTATTTTCGCATTTTATATTTTATGTTTTCCATTTTCATTTCCTAGTTATTTAATAGATAGTACGTAGTAGTTGCAACAGTTTGATTTTCACATTTGTATTAGTAAACATTATAAAAATTAATATTTTAGAAATTCAAATTAATAGAAATTTAATAATATTTTATACTTCATTCGTTCCATAACAGTTGCAACATTGGAATTTCTGCACTATTCACACACCTTACTTTGAGTACGATTTTGTAATAATATATATAATAAAAATATTATGTATAAAATATTAATAAATTTGTATTAATGTAAATTTCCAATATATTAACTTTTTTTAATGTTTACTAATACGTATATAAATACAATTACAGTCAAAGTTGCGCGTTGGCAAACGTGAAAGTCAAATTGTTGCAACTTTTATGGAACGGAGGATAGTACATACTAATTTCATTATATATATTAGTAAAACATAGTGATCAAAGTAAGGTGTGAATAGTGAAAATCCTAATTTTACCACTATTAAAAAACGGAGAAAATATTTCTTAAATATCGATTGACTTTTTTATACATGTGAAATTCGAACTAAGACGAATTAATTGGAATCAGGAGTACTGTATTATGTGGGTTGTTTTCCAAAGTATACAAACATTAACAAATTATGAGATAGTTCTATACACATTGTGAATTTGTTACACATTTATCTCCTTTATTAATACTAGACGACAAACTAATGGTTACATATATCTCCATCAATACTAGATGACAGACTGATTGAAGATCTTTTATTGAAGTAATATTTGTTGGTGTGGACTGCTCTAATACTCTATTAAAATATAAAGTGAGAACGAGTCATGGCATGACCTTCATGTTCGTTTGAAAGGGAAAGACAAATTGAACTAAGGACAACTCGGGTAGTAATAAGTGACTAGCCCGAGGTTGTAGTATTAACCTTAATAGAATTGATCCTAATTTTAGAATCGTGATGCTTTATGACTAGGGTATTCACTTGGGATAGCCTTAGATGATTAAAATGGTATATTGATCCTAGCTAGGATTAGATTGTTGATGTTATTTTTTGGGTGGTCTTTAGGACACCCGTAATTGATTGTTTGATTGGTAGCAAGGGTCATGACTCGACTTTAGTCTAAGGATAGATGCCCGACCACATGGACTTACTAATGGATAGGTGGGAGACATGGCCCGGACGAGTCTAAGGATCATGCCGGACTGCATGGGCTCATAATAAAATAGATGTAAGGACCATGGCCCTGCCCGATTCTAGAGAGCGTGTTGGATAGCATGGACTTATGATGTGATCACATATAAGGGTGGAATCCGAATCAGAGACCTAACGAGGCTCTGACAGTGGTAACATATACGATAGGACCCCGAATGGGCCTTACCTTCCTATGGGAACATGGTATGAGTCCAAGGGCTGGATGCTGGACTCCGACCGAGTGCCCTGTGGGTACTCGGATAGCGGTGACAGGTCCTGTATGATTGATGTGACCTTTGGGTTGAATTGTATGAATTATTAATGTAATGAATTATCGCAAGGCGATACAAAATGTATTGTTAAATACAAATGGGGAAATAAATTAACGTTGGACGATACAAAGGGTTTGTGACAAATACAAATGGGCCTATGAGCCGACGATTTGACTTTATATACTTATGTATGATTTGAAAGGGGTTACATGGGTTATTTCCTAGAATATGATATCACCCTATGTTTAGGGTCTTAAGGATTGAAACATTAATTATATGCAGTATAGTTCTCATTGTACTTTTTAAATGCTTCAAACTACTGACCTCCCCTTCACGGGAGAGGCCACTTCATAGTTTTCAGGTAGAAGCTAGAGCTTGCTTCCTGTGCACGTTGCTTTGGGAATCCTTGGAGAGAATACGTGGTTCGTGCTTCCTCCGTTTCTATTTTCAAAACTATTACAATAATGCTCATTGATGATATTTTCTGATCAACTATTTGGGGCTTGTATGCCTAACTTTGCCAAGTGTGGCCTGAACACTTGTAATATTATTTACACTGCTTCAATGAACATTTTTGCATTATGTTTGTTTATGGATGTACTGCGTGTGAATGATATTCCAGACGCCTTGTATAGACTGGATGTGTTGGACTGCGGTTGACTATTCGTACTGCACGGCGGGTTGTTGACGTGTCCGGGTAGGTCCGGGGCGTGATAGAAAATCAGTTGCATACCTGGAGTGCTGCCACCATTAGACGTCGTTTCACAGACATGTTACGCTGATTCTCCTTTCGGACGACACATCACAGATTTCGAGATTCCGAGGAAGTTTGCAGCCCCCTCAATGAAGAAGTTCGACGGAATCACCGATCCATTGGAGCACGTCGCCCAATACAAGCAGCGAATGCTTGTCGTTTTCGTCAGACCGGAGCAACGGGAAGTTTGTATGTGCAGGGCATTCGGGACAACACTGATTGGACCAGCGTTGACGTGGTTTGTAGATCTGCCGAATGAAGGCATCAACTCGTTTGCTGAGTTAGTCAACCTGTTCAGTTAGCAATTTGCAAGTAGTCGAGTTCTGGAAACTCAAACCAGTGATCTTTACGGAGTAGTCCATAAGCGGAACGAATCTTTGAGAGATTATTTACACTGATTCAATAAGGAAAAGGTGTCCATCTCAAAATGTGACGTCTCTACCATCATTGAAGCATTTATAAGAGGGTTGTATGAGATTCAGAGTTGTACGAGTAACTGACGAAATACCCTTGTCACTCCTTCGAAGATGTTCAAACAAAGACGTTGACTTTCATTCAATTAGAAGATGACTTACGATCCTGTCGAAGACAAATTGAGCACAAATGGGGCATGGGAAATCAGAATCTCCCAGGAGGCATGGTTACCATAATGGAAAACCATATTCGAGGCCTTAGGAATGAGTCGTCACTTCCTGTGATGAGATAGATCAGATGACATGCTTGAAGTCGTCAATTGGGGGCATGTCGTCCAATGACAGACAAGTTCTGATGAGCTACAGTACGATACCCTTAAAGTTGTTTCATTTTTAGTTTAATATTTTCTTTTACATATTGTTGTCACTCCTGTGATGAGATAAACAAGACGACATGACTGAAATCGTCGGACGGAGAGGTCATGTCGTCCGATGATAAACCTGACGACATAATTGAAACCGTCTGACTACAGAAACATTCTGACAGTAGATATTTATTTAGTTTCACATACATGTTCTTAATTTATTACTTTCCTTTAACTATAAGTGATCATTAACTTAAGCATCGGAGGGTTGTTAGCTTTTTAGTCAACGACCGATGTTAGCAAATGCGGGAGGTTTCAACTCGTCAAAACTGTGTAGCTATGATCATTAACACAAGTGCGGGAGGAAGATGATAGGAGACCAGCTTTAGTTCTTCATCGCTTTAGTCAAAGAGACGGATTAGATCAGAAACTACTTGCATGGAAATTAACTAAGTCGTCTCATCAGACCAGTGACGGGTTGACGAAAACATGTCATCAGAAAAGTGACGAGTTGACAAAAGCGTCTTGTTACACAAATGACAGGTTGAGAACATGTCTCATCAGACAGATGACGAGTTTATATTGGGCAATATTCAAGGATGACAAGTCTAGATATTTCAAGATTTCGAAAATTTGATGCTTAACGTACAGGTTCACATGTACGCCCATACGCCTCAACTTCTCGAAAGGACGCAAATGTTGGATCCCAAAATTTATTCAAAGGCATGGGCTCATAGTTTGTAAGAAGAAAGCCCGTTTGTGCAGCCAAGTGAAAGGGGAGGCCCAGCTGAAGTGGAAGAACAGAAACGTGGCCCATTGATTGAGTTAAGGGAGAATGAGTGGATAAACATGGGTTAGTTAGTCATGGAGAAAAAGAAGGAACACGTGAGAGACTTGGGGAAGGAGTAGAATAGGTCTCATTAATTAGAATATCAATTCTAAGAAGCAACACATGTTCATTACGAACAAAACTAGCAATATACATTCTGTACTAGAGCTCAAAAAGCTATTCGAAGTATTTCAATATTTTTACTTCATATTTTATATTTTCTCTCATTCATAATTAGTCCATTATCGATTCATATTTGTTCGATTCTCATTTC